CAGGGATCAGCAGTTAGCGTCATGGCTAAGTCGCTGGACTCCCATGTAGTCGACCGCGGTTCAAGTCCCGGACCCGGTGGCTTAAACTCACGCCGGGCGCGTGTGCGTGCGTGCCCAAGATCCCGAGAGGAGAATGGAGGAGAAGGGATTGCGGCGTGGCCGTCGCCCCTGGGGGGTGATTTCTCGCTTTCTGTCTCTCTTTGTCTTTCTGGCGAATGCACGCGCCCTATAGCGAAAACCTCTCCAAAATAGGAAATGCATTTCCAGGCACTGCCCGAATGTGACTTTGGTGAATCTGCAAAGCAGCCCTCAGGGTGGGGGCTCAATAACCAAACCAGTCATGGAGAAAGAACAGAGAAGACAAACACAGACCCACACACGGGGGTGGTTAATAGGACAAAGACTCGAATGAAAAAAGTCAAACCTGCAAGAAGGGATGGCGAACGTTGGCAGAAGGATGGTAACGCTAAGCATCCAAAGAAAATGCTAGACATGATGGGACCAGCAGATGGTGTAATGGTTATATCACTGAACTCTGACCTAGTCGACCCTGGTTCGAGTCCCAGACCCGGCGACTTAAAACCCATGCTGGGTGCATGTGTGTGCGTGCTCAAGATTGTGAGAGGAGGGGACCAGCAGTTCGCATAATGGCTATGTCGCTGGACTCCCATGTAGTTCGACCGCAGTTCGAGTCCCGGACCCAGTGGTTTAAACTCACACCGGGCGCGTGTGCGTGCATGCCCAAGATCCCAAGAGGAGAATGGAGGAGAAGGGATTGTGGTGTGGCCATCCCCCTGGGGGGGGTGTGATTTTTCACTTTCCCTCTCTCTGTCTCTCTCTTACAGTAATCATTCTTGAAAGGAGGGGCGGCAGGTGGCTTGGTGGTTACTGGATTCCCCCATGGCTAACTGCATTCCAGTCCTGGACCTGGGGGCTTGCTTTCTCGCTTTCCCCCTCTCTTTCTCTCTCGCTCTGTCCCTCTCTGATCAAATTGAAATAAATAAATAAAATCATTCTTAAAAAAAAAAAAAAGGTAACAAACAAACAAAAACAATCAGTGAGCTCCAAGAAAAGTCTACAGAAACTTCTACAACTGAAAGGCAAAGAGGAAAAAAAGAGACCAAAAGTGGGAACAAAATAGCCAAGAACTGCCAGATCATTATATACGGGGTAATTCATGCATATGAGAAATACGAGAAGGAGAAGAAAGGGAAAAAAAAAAAAAAAAAAAACAGGAAGAAAAAAATATTGAAAACTTCCTAATGATGGATGGTAAACACCAAACCACAGATCCAGGAAGCTCAGTAAGCACCAAACAGGATAAACATCAAAATATTGACTCTCTTCTTTTTTATTAAGAGAGGTGTTTGCTATAGGGCGCGTGCGTTTGCTAGAAAGAGAGAGAGACAGAGAGACAGAAAGTGAGAAATCACCCCCCAGGGGGGATGGCCAGGCCGCAATCCCTTCTCCTCTCGGGATCTTGGGCACACACGCACACGCGCCCGGCGTGAGTTTAAGCCACCGGGTCCGGGACGCGAACCGCGGTCGACTACGTGGGAGTCCAGCGACATAGCCATTACGCCAACTGCTGGTCCCCAAAATACTGACTTTCATGAAGGTGCCTTCCTGCGCAAAACTACCATTCCCAGCTGACACATCAACTACCTCCTCCCAGGAGCTCTCACACGGCCAGGCACTACGGGACAGACAGCCTGTGCCCCGGAACCCACTGAAACCATTCAGAACAGCCAACCCCAAGCCTGCTCCTCCCCAGGAACACTACCACAAAGGCTTGCCTCATATTTCTCCCTCTCCCTCTGCCTCCTGACCCTCCCTGGTGCTCCTCCAGGTGTCCCTGGGGTGGCTTCGTGCCACTCTCCCCAAGAGGAACTGAGAGAAACAAACTGTCTCTCTCTTTTAATTAAATAATTTTTTAAAATCAGAACAGCCAACCCCAAGCCTGCTCCTCCCCAGGAACACTACCACAAAGGCTTGCCTCATATTTCTCCCTCTCCCTCTGCCTCCTGACCCTCCCTGGTGCTCCTCCAGGTGTCCCTGGGGTGGCTTCGTGCCACTCTCCCCAAGAGGAACTGAGAGAAACAAACTGTCTCTCTCTTTTAATTAAATAATTTTTTAAAATTTTATTTATTTACTCTTTTTTTTTTTTTTTGGAGAGGTTTTTGCTACAAGGCACATGCGCTCGCCAGAAACAGAGAGACAGAAAGCGAGAAATCACCCCCAGGGGGGATGGCCACGCCGCAATCCCTTCTCCTCTCGGGATCTTGGGCACGCATGCACACGCGCCTGGCGTGAGTTTAAGCCACCGGGTCCGGGACTCGAACCATGGTTGACTACATGGGAGTGCAGAGATGTAGCTATTACACCATCAGCTGGTCCCTTACTTACTTATTTTTAATTTGACCAGACAGGGACAGAGAAAGAGGGAGAACGAGAAAGAGAGAAAGCAAGCCACCAGGTCTGGGACTTGAACTGTGGTCGACCATGTGGGAGTCCAGAACCTTAACCACCATGCCACCTTCTGGCCCCTCTCTCTCTCTTTTTTTTTTAAATTAAATAAATACTTTTTTTATATTTTTATTTAACTTTGTCTATTAACTTATTTTTCATTTGACCAGAGAGAGACAACAAGAAAGTAAGAAAGCAAGCTGCCAGGTCTGGGACTTGAACTGCGGTCGACCGTGTGGGAGTCCAGTGCCTTAACCACCACGCCACCTGCTGGCGCTGCTCTTGCTCTTGCGAATGGATGCCTTGGGAGTCTGCAAGAGCAAGACCCCCCCACACACACACAGAGACACACAGCAGAGGTGGCCCCTGGGCCTCCAAACCGCGAGCTGAACAATGAACCCCTAACTCCTTGAAACGACCCAGTCGCCAAGAATTCTCTGTTACCAGCCTTGCAACGGACGCGGACGCGAGCCACCGAAGCGATCGCGAGGCCAGCCCTTGGCGCCGTCGGGTTGCACTCACCTCCAGCACGGGGCCGGCGCCCAGGATGGTCCTCTCCACGCCGCTGGCGTAGCCCTTCTGGCTGAGCGCGGTGAGGCAGTGGATCAGGAAGTTGGTGGTCTGCGTCTTACCGGAGCCGCTCTCCCCGGAGATGACGATGCACTGGTTGACGCGCTTCCGGAGCATGGCGTAGTAGGCCACGTCGGCCAGCGCGAACACGTGCGGCTCCAGCTTGCCCAGCTGCTGGTTCTCGTACATCTTCACGTACTTGGGGTTGTAGATGGGGAGGAACTTGAAGGGGTTGATGGCCACCAGGATGCTGCCCGCGTACGTGTAGATCTTCTGCTGCAGGAAGCGGTGTTTGAGGTTCTTTAGGATGTTGGTTTCGGTCAGCTCGGGGAGGTTGCACAGGTCGTCAAAGTCCGCCTGCTGCCGGGGCAGGAGCCCGCGTTCCACCAGGCGCCGGGCGGCCGTGGCCTGGGCCACCAGTTGCATGTGCACGTATTTGATGGAGCCATCGGCGTTGCGTTCCTGCAAGAGGAAGTAGTAGCCGTCCTCCTGCGGGTGCTCGTCCTGCGCCCGCCGGGGCCAGAGCAGCACGCGGTGGACGGGCGAGTCGTTGGCGTCCAGCACCCACTCCTCCCCGCCGGACTCCTTGACCTCCACCAGCACGTAGCGTTTGGTGCCGTCCAGCTGCAGGCTGGCGATGGCGTCTTGGATGACGTCGGAGGTGGTGCTGTCCTTGGTGGCCGTCACCCGGCAGGAGGCCTGGCTCTCGGTGGCGGACAGCCGCGGGTAGATGTGCAGGTGGTAGGCCGCCTGCTCCCGGCCAGCCTCTTTCACACTCATCCTGCCGGCCGCCTGGCTTCAGCATGCCTTCCGGGCTCGGGGCGCCAGCGTCCTGGAGCTGGAAAGGAGGTGAGAGTCAGAAAGGCTCACGGAGGGGGAACCAGCAGTTAGCGTCATGGCTATGTCGCTGGACTCCCATGTAGTCAACTGGGGTTCAAGTCCCGGACCCGGTGGCTTAAACTCACGCCGGGCACGTGTGCGTGCGTGCCCAAGATCCCGAGAGGAGAATGGAGAAGGGATTGCGGCATGGCCATCCCCCCAGGGGGTCATTTCTCACTTTTCTTTTTCTCTCTCTCCCCAGGGAGCACACATGTCCTATAGCAAAAAAACTCTCTTAAAAAAGGGGGGGAGAATTTTAACTGAAGGACTGGCTTTTAGGAATATCGCTGTCAGAGACCCCCAAAACCAATCCCGTTCCTGAGTTTGCTCCATCAAAACCCCTCACTGCACCCCACACAGAGCTGCCCTTCTCAGCCCACCTGCTTCCTGGCTCTCCTCTGACCAGCCTGCCCCGGCAGCTTCCATGCGGAGGAGGAAGACTCGGCCCCTAGGTCTTGGCCAGGTCCCTGCATCACGCCAGAGGATGTCAGAACACAGGGGAATGGGCTGCCCTAAACCTGGCCCGAAACCCAGAGCCTGTGAAGCCTGGTGGAGGAGGATGAGGTCAGAGGAAGCCACCCCAACTCGCTGGAGCCCAGCTGTGGTGCAGTGAGTGGGAAGGTGCAGGTGGGAAGGTGGGCTAGAGGCCAGGGTTCAGGTCCCGGACCAGCCTAAACACACTGAGCAGAGGTGCATGCACGTGGTCCTAGCTAGCTAGAGTGCAAGGATGGGAAAATCACCCTGTAGGGAGACTCTGTGCCTCTGTGATTGACAGCACCAAGGGACCCACACAGGAGAGGTCTAGGGGGACCAGCAGTTCGAGTCCCAGACCCGGTGGCTTAAACTCACGCCGGGCGCGTGTGCGTGCGTGCCCAAGATCCCGAGAGGAGAATGGAGAAGGGATTGCGGCATGGCCATCCCCCCAGGGGGTCATTTCTCACTTTTCTTTTTCTCTCGGCAGAGTGGTTACATGGCTGATCTCCCATGTGGCTGGGAGTTCAAGTCCTGGATCCAGGGGCTTCACCCAGTGGCTTAAACCCACACCGGGCGTGTGTGCGTGCGTGCCCAAGATCCTGAGAGGAGAATGGAGGAGAAGGGATTGCTACGTGGCCAGGGGCCAGGGGCGGTGATTTCTTGCTTTGTCTCTGTGTTTCTCTAGTGAGCGCACATGCTCTATAGCAAAAATCTCTCCGCCCCCCCAAAAAGAAAGAAAGAAAGAAAGAAAAATTGCTGGAAGGTGTGTGCACTCACCAGAGACAAAGAGGTAAACTGAGAAAGCTCAGGGGGGATGGTCACACTGCCACCTCTTCTCCTCCATTCTCCTTTCAGAACTTTGGGCAGGTGCACACATATGCTTGGCTTGTTTTCAAGTCACCAAGTTCGGGACTCAGACTGTAGAGTTGGCCACATGGGACCCGGCACCTTAACTGCCACACCACCTGCTGACCCCCAGCTATTTGTTATCAATAAAGTGTTTTTTTTTTTTTTTCTAATTTTATTCATTCATTCATTTATCTTAATTTGACCAGTGAGAGAGAGAGAGAGACAGAGAGAGAGGGAGAGGATGCAAAACAGCAAGCCACCAGGTCTGGGACTCGAACCATAGTCAGCCATGTGGGAGTGTCCAGCACCTTAACCACCACGCCACCTGCGGGTCCTACCATAGATACTTTGATGAAATGAAATTCTGTACTTGCTTTGTGAGCACGCATGAATGTAACAATGTTTTTTTTCTTCTTTCAATTCTGTGGGGGTTTTTTTCTTCTCTTTCATCATAGGGCCCATGTGACTGCCAGAGACAGAGACACAGGAAGAGGGAAAGTGAGAAATCAGCCCCCCGGAGGGGATAGCCGTGCTGCAATCCCTTCTCCATTCTCCGCTAGGCATTTTGAACACGCATGCAGAAGCACCTAGTGTGGCTTTTCTTTTTAAGTTTTTACAATAGGGCTCATGCGCTCATGAGAAAGGAAACAGATACAGAGAACGGGAAAGTGAGAAATCACTCCCCAGCAGGGATGGCCACACCACAATCCTTTCTCCTCCCTGGATTGTGGGCACGTATGCGTATATGTTCAACATGATTTTCTTTCTTTTTTTCTTTTTAAGAAGTGATGTTTGCTACAGGGCATATGTAGTTGCTGGACAGACAGACAGAGAGAGAGAGAGAGACAGAGAGAGAGAGAGCCAGAAAGCAAGAAATCACTCCTCCAGGGAGGATGGCCATGCCGCAATCCCTTTTCCATTCTCTGTTAGAGATTTTAGGCACGCACACACATGGGCCCAGTGTGAGTTTTAAACCACTAGGTCTGGGACTTGAACCACGGTCAAATATGTGGGAGTCCAGTAATATAACCATTAAGCCAACTGCTGGTTCCTGTGGCATGATTTTCAAGCTGCCATGTCTGGGATTCGAACCACGGTCTGCCAGGTGGGAGAGTCTAGCGCCGTAACGACCACCGGCTGGCCCCAATTTTGTGGTATATTTTTAGACAGGGTTCTGCCCTGTCTCGATCCTCCTGCCTCATTCTCCCAAATATCTGGTACTACTTGGCTTTTGATGGCATTTCTTTATTTTTGGAGAGGGTTTTTGCTATAGGGCATGTGTCCTCGGCAGACAGACGGAGAGAGGCAGAGAGACAGAAAATGAGAAATCACCCCCCCCAGGGGGGATGGCCACGCCGCAATCCCTTCTCCTCCATTCTCCTCTTGGGATCTTGCGCACACACGCCCACGCGCCCGGTGTGCATTTAAGCCACCGGGTCCAGGACTCGAACCGCGGTCAACTACATGGGAGTCCAGTGACATAACCGTTTCTTAATTTTAAGTTTTGCTACAGGATGCATACACTTGCCAAAGACAGAGAGAGTCAGAGAGACAGAGGGTGGGAGAAAGCACCCCATAGGGAGATGGCCACACCACAATCCCTTCCCCTTCATTCTCTCGGAATTTGGACACACGTGCGCACGTGCCCAGTGTGTTCCTCAAACAGTCAGGTCTGGGACACGAACTGCAGAGTCGGCCATGTAGGACCCAGCTGCCTTAACCTCCACACCACCTGCTGGCCAAAATGGCATGACTTTTATTGCTTATTTACTTATTTTTATTAATTTATGTATCTATTTACTTGTGATTTTCTTTCTTTTTTTTAATGGAATTATTTTGTTTTAATTTTATTCATCATCATTATTTAAATTTGATCAGAGGAAGACAGAGAGGGAGAGGGAAAGTGAGAGAGCCAGCAGGACTAAGACTTGAACCACAGTCGGCCATGTGGGAGTCCAGCACCTTAACTACCATGCCACCTGCTGGCCCCTTATTTTATTTTATTTTAGAGAGATTTTAGCTATAGGGCACATGTGCCCATCAGAGAGAGAGAGACAGAGATAGAGAAAGGACTCTCCAGTGGAGTTGGGCATGCCACAATCCCTCCTCCTCCATTCTCCCCTTTGGGCACACGTGCACACATGCCCAGTGTGAGTTTCAAGTTGTGGGGTTCCGGACTTGAATCATGGTTGACCTCGTGGGACTCTAGGGCCTTAACCACTATACCACCTGCTGGCCCCTGCTTGTGACTTTCAAGTCTCCTGATCCAGGACTTGAACCACGGTCGGCTATGTGGGAGTCCAGCACCTTACACCACGCCACCTGCCGGCCTGACTGCGTGACTTTTTTTTTTTTTTTTTTTTTATTGTTCGGAGAGGTTTTTGCTATAGGGCGCGTGTGTCAGAGAGACAGAGAGAGACAGAGAGACAGAGAGCGAGAAACCACACACACCCCCGGGGGGGGGACGGCCATGTCGTAACTGCTACGCCATCTGCGGTCCCTGTAATATTTTCATAAGGATTTTTACTACGCGAGAGATGCTGGTCTACAGTTTTCTATGACTGAAACGCCTTGGCCTGGCTATCGTATTATGATCATCCCAGCATTGTATAAACATTTAAGTGTTCCTTTTTATTTTCCAAAAACATTTTTGTAGGCTTGCTTTTTCTTCCTTTCTAAGTTTTTGCCATAGGACACAGGCTCTCTTGAGAGAGACAGAGAGAGAGGGAAAAGTTTAAAATTACCGTCTGGGGGGATGGCCACACCACAATCCCTTCTCCTCCATTCTCCTCTCGGGATCTTGGGCATGCATGCACACGCGCCCGGTGTGAGTTTAAGCCACCGGGTCCGGGACTCGAACCATGACGGCTCTAAGCCACCGGGTCCGGGACTCGAACCACGACGGCTCCATGGGAGTCCAGCGACAGAGTCATTATGCCAACTGCTGGTCCCGCCCAGAGTGATTTTCAAGCTTCCAGGTCTGGGACTAGAACTGTCGTTGGCGATGTGGGAAACCAGTGCTTTAACCACCACACCACCTGCTGCTGCTTCTTGCTCTAGAACACCTGTACACTGGCCAGTGAGGGGCAGAGAAAGAAAGAGAACGGAGCGAAAGCAAGCACCTCCCGGCGTGGTGTGGCCACGCTGCAACCCCTTCTCCTCCCTGTCTCCATCCCATCAGGATTTGGGCGTGCATGCACCTACCCAGCACGATTTCCCAGCTCCTGGGGCCGGGATTCCAAACGCAGTTGGCCACGTGGGATCCACGTGGGCTTAACTGCTAGGCTGCATGGCCATCCCCTGCTCTATTTCCAGAAGGTTCACTCTGTGAGCTCAGACGCCACAGCACGGGAACGCTTGGGAATCTGCGGATGCGTTAGGGACTGAGATGTCACACAGCTCAGCTCTCCTGTCCCCGGACACAATGACAGCCTATCACAGATGGGCCCTGGGCAGTGGCACGGAGCCACAGAAGGTGGACGGAGACTCACGCTGGAGACTTACATTTCTGTGATGGGTGAAAAAAGCAGGGGCCCCGAATTGTAGACGTGAGCCTCACCCACGTGAACTCACATTCATGCACACACTCACAGGACACACTCGCATGCACACGCACGCCCATATGAACGTGCTCATGCACAAAAATGGGCAT